AAGCCCCAATTATGGGAGGAAGCTAACTGCTTCCATCATCTGTCTATCGGCTCGTCACAAGATTCAAATCCCAGTAAGGGTATGGCTAGCTGATGAGAGCTAAATAGCTTGAAATAGATCTATACTAGTCTCCCTTTATTTATTTATCAGCACAAATAAAACACACACACACACACACACACACACACACACACACACATATATATATTTTAAAAAAACTTTTTTTCTTGACAGATTACTTTTAACAATATGGCTCACAGTGGTAAAATAAAAATATATTTGGATACTGATGCTGACATTCAGGAATGTAAAGACTGGAATATATCCGGCTCTTGTAAGTAACATGAATATGTGATTAAGAAAATGGAAGCCTCCTTTTTAATGTATAGCACCATTTTGTCTAGAGCAGTGTTTCTCAACCTTGGCCAACTTGAAGTCCGGTGGACTTCAACTCCCAGAATTCCCCAGCCAGCTGTGCTGTGTCATTGATGGCTTAAACATTGTCAACAATGCAGATAATTTGACTGGGTCATATTTCTTGAGCAAATAGGTATCCACTTATATAATAGCTATGTGGAGGAGCTGTATTTACTTTTTCATGTCATTATTCTGAAATGGAAAACTACCTTGGATTTAATTTTTTTTTAAAATTCAGCTAAGGGAAGTGGATGTTGAAAATAACCATCAATATTTTCCTTTCACATGAAGATGTAATAAAATACTGAACAAAGAAGCTCAAAACAATAACAACTCAGCTAATATTGCAATTTAACACGGAAAATGTATACATGGGCAATCATTGTGTAATCATTCTTTACAAGTACTGTGGCTAGAGAATTACATTTTGAAAGAGTCTGTAGATCAATGGGGTTTTTTCTTCTGTTTCTTCATGCTTCAGTTCAGAATGTACTACACTTAAAGGGACCTACTGCAATTACCGTATTTTTTGGAGTATAAGACACACCTCCCCCCCCCAAAAAAGAGGGTGAAAATCTGGGTGCGTCTTATACACTGAATACAGCATTCTCGAAACCCTGCCCCCTTCACAAAAATGGACGTGCAGAGGGTTTGGGAGGCCTGCAAAGTGCTCCTGGGAGCTGGAGAGGGCAAAAACAAGCGAAAAACAGGCCATTTTTTTGCTCGTGTTTGCCCCTCCCCCAGAAACACTCTACAAGCCTCCTAAAGGCTATGCATGCCCTTTTTGGGGGCAAAAACAAGGGCCGTTTTTGCAAAAAAGGGCTGCTTTTTGCTCATTTTTGTCCCTCCCCAGCCCCCAGGAGCACTTTGCAGGCCTCTCAAACTCTCTGCATGCCCTGTTTTTCACAAAAAAATAGGCGTGCATAGGGTTTGGGAGGGCTGCAGAGTATAAAAACCTTTTTTTACATTTACCTCTTCAAAATCTTGGTGCGATTTATACTCTGAAAAATACAGTAATTTATCACCTCTGTAGTGATTGACTTGGAAATATCTACATTTTTAAAGTCTTTTAAGTTATTTGTTTTCCTATTCCTTTTAGTAGTTCAGAAGAATACACAGTATATCTTGGTTTTTGATGGGCTTGTTATAGTGAGCTGTTTTGCTTCTCTAATTCTCTGCACACGATCTATTATTCTTGCTCTAAAATTGCAAAAGGTAAGTATGCCTAATTTCTATGCATGCATTTCATTTTTCCAAGATAACAGAAAGTAAGAATTGTTCTTAATATATTTGTCATATAATTTGATCAGAAGTCCTATTTAAGAGTGAAACTGTAATAGTGGGATATGTTTTTGAAGATGGGAAATTCATATTCTAAATTTGCTTGCAATTAACAGTTACTGATTATTAGAGCTTCCAACTACATTCAGGCATGTTATTTTCATTTGTGTGATTTAAGTCAGTTTAATTAATCACAAAGTGGAATCCCAGAGATAGAGGACATAGAACATATTTAATTTTCAACTGCATAAGAAACCGACATATCTTGGCACATTAGACAAATGTTGCCAAAACAAATTAGACAAAATTCTTTAAATTAAAATAGTAAATTCCATGTGCATCAAAATCCAAAAATTATATATAATATAGCCATCTGAACACAGTAGAATTGAGAATTGCATATGTGAATCTGAAAGGGGTAAATGATAGGCTTGACACATAAATATAATTCTCATTTTCTTTTATTCTTGTCTTTTATGCTATTTTGTAACATATTTTATAGTTTGATATGGCCTAATATATAATTAAGTATTATTAATTAATTAGAAATCTCATGTTGATATAGCATTACATTTTGGGATTTTTAAATATTGGTCTTTTTTTCTCTCTACACTGTGTGATCCTACTCAAATGGATTAAGAAAACTGGACAAATATGATTATTTTGATTGTATGATGCGTATGCCACCCATTAATGGTTGAGAGATATTTATAAACCATCGCTGGTTCAACAAACTGTAATTAAAATTTCACATTTGGAATGAGGCAAACTGTGTAAATTATTGAACACAGAAATGAATGGTATAAAATAGCTTAATTTCTCCCCAGAGACTGAATGTTGGCAATGCATAGCAGGAGGTTCAACGACAAAAGGGCGAATGACAAAACTGCGCCCGACTAAACCGCGTCGCTGATGTCATCAACAGGGCGACAACAGCGCGGAGAAAGAAGCAGGCTGTAAACCCTAACCCTAAACTTAACCCCTAACCCTAAACCTAAACCTAACCCTAAACCTAACCCTAAACCTAACCCTAACCCTTAACCTAACCCTAAACCTAGCCCTTAACCTAACCCTAAACCTAACCCTAAACCTAACCCTAATCCTTAACCTAACCCTAAAGCTAACCCTAATGCTAACCCTAAACCTAACCCTTACCTTAAGTTAAATCGGCTTTCTTTCGATGCGCTATTTAAAGCGCCCTTCTTTCTCCGCACTGGCTGTTGTCGCCGCGTTGATGACGTCAGCGACGTGGTTTAGTCGGGCGCGGTTTTGTCATTCGCCCTTTTGTCGGGTCACGATAGCAGGAATAAGCAAAATTTTAAAAAGAACGAGATCTTAAAAGCTGGTCAATAACTCTCTTCTATAGTGTCTGTATACACTAGAGATGGGTGAAGTAGTTTCTAAAATATAGTTCCTGTAAGATATTCAGTGGTAAGTGATACTGGGATTGTAGTTCAGCAATAGATAAAATACAGGTTCCTTATCTTAATGCAGTTCCTATAATGATCACATGGTGGCATTAACATAGTAATGGTGTGATGTTAATTAGTAAATCATTCTTGTTTTAAAGCAGTTTTTTCTTCTTATGTTAATCTTTAAACCAGAGATTTGTGAATTTTTTCCTGGAGAAGTATAAACGTCATGTATGCAGTGCAGATCGTTTAGAGTTTATAAATGGATGGTATGTTCTGGTGATTATCAGTGACATAATGACTATCATTGGCTCTATAATGAAGATGGAAATAAAAGCAAAGGTAATCCTTAAAGTTTCAGTTACTTTGGGTTGTGATAGCTGAAAGAATTCTAACCTCTAAAACAGTGTTTCTCAACCTTGGCCACTTGAAGATGTCCGGACTTCAACTCCCAGAATTCCCCAGCCAGCGAATGCATTCGCTGGCTGGGGAATTCTGGGAGTTGAAGTCCGGACATCTTCAAGTTGCCAAGGTTGAGAAACACTGCTCTAAAACCTTAGTTGAGATCCGAAGAGGAATCAGCTCTTCCTCTTTCAGTGGTTAACTTTTTTCTTCTTTTTTCAGAATCTTACAAGCTATGATGTTTGCAGCATTTTTCTTGGGACGTCCACTCTATTTGTTTGGGTTGGAGTCATTCGATATTTGGGCTACTTCCAAACCTACAATGTAAGCTCAAATAACGTGCCAGAAACCAAGTGGGTCCCCCTCCACACACAGACATGGTATCTGATGAACTTTCTCCCAATTTCCTAGGTACTCATTTTAACAATGCAAGCATCTTTACCCAAAGTCCTCAGATTCTGTTGTTGTGCTGGGATGATATACCTTGGGTACACTTTCTGTGGATGGATTGTTCTAGGACCATATCATGACAAGGTATGTAGGTGATCTGGAATTTATTCTTTATGAGCAATTAATATTATAAAAGACTTGCACACAAATGTAAATTTAGAGGCAAATGGGTACCCTCTGCAAACATTAGTTGAATTATTCATAGTTCAACTCATAGTTCTAATTACTAAAGGATCTTTTATGTCTGAAGAAAAATTGTGTATGGTACTCCAGTCTTCATTAGTGAAGGAATTAAAAGCAACTATTGACTTTATTTGTGGGTTTTTGAAAGTTGGTAAATGTATTCATTGTGATTTCTCTTGCACAACTTTATTGCTAGAGGGCAGCATTGTCTAATGTTAGTTAGCTTAAAAGAGACATCGCTTCTTCCCTAAACTAATATTAAATAATATTAAAGATCTTAGTTCCTGTCTTTCTAGTTCAAAGCCCTAGAAAAAACTTCAATTGAACTTGCCAACAAATTGACAGGATAAATCCTGAAGTACAAGTAGTCCTCAACGTACGACCACAATTGAGCCCCAAATGTATGTTGCTAAGTGAGAAATCATGACCTGGATTACTGAAAATCTCTATAAACATTTAATAAACCTACAGGTTCAGATACTTTTGCCACACATAAATCTGTATCTTTGGCTCATTTCCTCAATAAATAAAATAAAAATAATAATATTTTGACTGCTGATTGGGTTTTTGTTTTTTTTTAACTTTTGGACTTGTGAAGAACAGAGCATATTTTATGTCATATTTAGGCAGAAATATTGAAAATTCAGTACAACAAATTCACAAACCTTTTAGCACCACTCTGGAATATGCTGTTCACTGAGTACAAGACAGCCCTATCCATTTTACTTTATGCCCCAAACTTCATTTTCCTTCGCATGTCATATGGAACCTCTATCCATCAAAAGGTTGAAAATCCTTAATGGTGCTTTTAGTGAAATCTATTACCTAAAGAGTATTAATATATACTATATTGACACTTAGCATGGAAATCAGCTTTTAGAATTATGATTTGTGTGTAATTTGCTAAAATAAACCTATGCAGAACACTGTAGCACATTTACACAATTTGGAACAACGTGCTGTATGTCAGATGTGAATCCTGCATTCAAATGTACAAAAAAATGTACATTTTTTTCCCTGCAGAAATTTTGTTGTCTTTGTTCAATCCAGGTTTAGTAATGTGTTGAGTTTTAATAATGAGCTGTAACCAGTTTATTTTAAGACGATTAGACTAAAACTTCTTTGAAATGCCACAATACCTGTTTCTGATGTCGGTTATGTTCTCTGCTCTCTATTTCTAGTTTGAAGATATGAACAAGGTAGCAGAATGTCTCTTTTCTTTAGTCAATGGCGATGACATGTTTGCTACGTTTGCTCAGATCCAGCAGAAGAGTACCACAGTCTGGATATTCAGTCGATTATATCTGTATTCCTTCATTAGCCTCTTCATATATATGATACTCAGTCTCTTTATTGCCCTCATTACTGATGCCTATGACACCATCAAGGTAAAATATACTGGGTTAAGTACTATTTCTTGAAGGTGGTCTGGAGCTCACAGAAACATTCAGACAAAATGTTATGTGTAAGCTTGAAAATTCATAGAAACTCGTTGGATACAGTAGCTTTTTAAAGCAGCTGTCTCCAACCTTTCTGGCTCTGTGGACAAGCATTGATAGGAGGAAGAGGGCATTGTTTCATATGTGCACCACTTGCAAAAATGTGTCCATGCTCATCCACCACTTAATTCAGGACAGGTCCCAACAGATCACGGCTGTGGACTAGGAATCGAGGATCCCTGTTTTAAAGGGTGTTTTAGTAGCGTATACAGTATGTGCCTGTTAATCAAATTCTAGAAAGCTAGAAACCTTTTCTTAGAGTTTCTTATTTTTCAATCTTGAAGTTATTACCAAATCTATAGTAGCTTCTCTGGAGTGGGTAGAAGAGTAAACTGGAAGACGTCGGGAAAAGCAGAAGTAGTCATCCGTATACAACAGTAAGAAAGTTAACTGTATCAGTGTAATGCCACTTTCAGGATGAATAATCTAACTCAGAAAGCAAATTGAACGATACTTATCAAAGAAGTGAAAGGATATTTGTGGTTTCATTAAGTAATAGATGAAGTACTCTTAACAGAATTAGGTAAGAAGATAAGAAGTACCAAAAATCACTTTTCTCTCTTTGTGAGCAGCATAAATAACATTAGATTTCAACCTTCAAATATGTGTAAGGCTGCAGATATAACTCTTCTCACAAATCATTCCTCCTTCTCACAATAGGTTAAGAAATGGGAAGTCCAGAGAGTGTAGGTTTGAGTAAAACTGTTTCCTAAGAGATTATTTTGTACACTCCTATTTTAGAAATACCAACAAACTGGGATGCCACTTACAGATCTTCATAAATTTTTAAAAGAATCTAACAGTGAAAATTATGGTCTAGGACAGCGGACATCCACGAGCCTCTGTTGCTGTATGAGGTCAGTATTTTGTTCCACTGATTTCATTATGTATTTTTCCTGTACACTATATACTTAAGTTTCCTTGTTATGGATTCTCTGATGAAACACAGCTAGAAATATGAATAGAACTTTTAAGCCCTCTTTCCCTTTTAAGCCCTCTTTTGTATTTATCATTGACAAATGACTTGAAATTTAGGAAATGAAGGGATCATAAGTATTTTTCCTGAGGAAGAATTCTGATCTTAGGAGCATTAAAACAACAAGGGCAGATGGCTCTCCCAACCCATTCCTGTAAAGCTTTTGTCAGTAACTGTTTCCTATTCAATAATATTATTGCCATTTAAGTTTCAGCACTTGAATTAGCCAACTATTTTTAGGTCAAAGATATGTTGTGACCAAAGCCTTAAGCCGTGATTTTGTTAGTGGCTCCTAATTTTGAATAGATATGATCTACTGTGAAGATAAGCAAGTTATGGAATATCTGCTATTTTAACTGAAGGCCTAGGAGAGGCCTTTCATTATCTGCTCTATTTTCTAAATAATTTAGATAAAATCACAAAGTTTGGGCTTTTCTTCTCAAATTACATTTTTAAGGCACAGAATGGCAACCATTGGAAATATGCAGCCGAGAAGAGGGATAAAGCTGGCAAGGAAGGGCATATAAAGGCCAGTTATTATTTTGCAGAGGGATGGAAATTAGAAATCACTAATGCTAATATTTTGATTGGTCCATTCATACCTCCTTCCAACATTTTTTTATTCCTTTGCTGATCTAAAATAATGAACTATTTCTTCTTTCTACAGGCGAAAAAGTGATGATAACTTTTTACTTATTAATTAAAGATAGTTGGCATGGCCCAAATTGTCAACAAACTGCTGGAAAGCTGGCCATCTTGAATTTATTGGAAACACTGTGTGTGCAAGCCTTTTCCACTTAAGGAAAACTTAAGGAAAAAGAAGTAGCAGTTTTTCTGCCATCAACAGCGGGAAGCTCAAAATTTGTAATAAAAGTGTTGGATGAACAGTTTTGATTGCAATAGCTGATCTTAAAGAGGAAAAGTGATTACCGGTACACACTTTTCAATTGTAACTTGCTTTCTAAATATTTTTATATTAAAATATTTAAATGAGACCTGTTTCTTGAATACAATATTGTAATTGTTGGTAGTTATAGCTCTGGTTGTAGTTCTTTTTTGGCTTGTTAGAAATTTACAATGGAGTATTGTGAGCTTTTTCTCAGAACGTAAAATTCATTTGTTCAGAACTGCAGCCCTCAGTTATATATATTGTTCTAGTTTGGGGTCCATTAAGCTGACTTAAAATTACCAGATGTTGAATGCTGATTTGATTATGCAAGCATTTTTCTTCCTAAAGCTTCAGTATTAGTCAGTGCTGTTTCTATTTGTTTTGAATGCCCATAATTCCCTTCATTGGCCATTGAAATCTGATCCTGCAGTTCTTTTTTTTTTTAAAGTAATCTTTATTAGTTATACATTTTTTTAAGAGTAAAACATACAAATACAAATACAATTTTAAACCTACCACCCCCCCCCCCCCCCCCCCCCCGCGGTGACAGTCATTCACAGCCCAACTTTTTTT